AGCCTCCCGAGTAGCTGGGATTACAGGCACGCGCCACCATGCCCAGCTAATTTTTTTGTATTTTTAGTAGAGATGGGGTTTCACCATGTTGGCCAGGATGGTCTCGATCGCTTGACCTCGTGATCCACCCGCCTCGGCCTCCCAAAGTGCTGGGATTACAGGCGTGAGCCACCGCGCCCGGCCTTAGTTGTTTATTTTTAATCCCCACTAGAATGTACGTTCCATGAAGGCAGAGATTTTTGTGTTTTATTCACTATTGTCGCCCCAGTGCTGACAATAGTGTCTGGTACACAGTAGGAGCTTAATAAATGTTGTGATGGTTGGAGGGCTGCATGAATGAGTGACTACACCTGGAGAAAAGGAGATGTGGGGGTCCAGCCAGACCCCTCTGGGTACTGAGACACCCCAGACTGAGTTCCTGTCCTGCTGCCTGACCTGGAGGGGGCAACAGTGTCAAGGGCTTCGACCAAACTCTGCTCTGTGTTGAGGGGCACACCCGACCCCTGCCATTAATCTTTCACCACTTACCATCTTCCACACGAAAAAACCAAAGCATCTCTTCCAGCAGCTCCTGGGGCACCACAGTACCGGCTGGGGCTCCAGGAGCCCCCTGACTGTGCTCCATGCCCCTGCCCCTGGTGGTCTGAGCCGCTGGCAACGAGGTCCTTAGGCCCCTTAGCCCCAGCAGCTCTCCTGGCCTTCTGGTTCTGGCCCCTGGGCAGAGAAGCCTTGAAGACCCCTGGAAACAAAGCAGAGAGCATGACCGGATATCCCCCCTGAGTTTGGTCTCCCTCTGTGCCCAAACTCGGATCTCCTCTGGCCCAAAGTTATGGGACCCAAACGACCTGACCCAGGAGCACGTGGAGCCTGGGGGGCAGAGACTATAGAAGTTTCAGTGACTCAAATTGTTTTTTCTGTTTGTTTGTTTTTTGAGAGTCTTGGTCTGTTGCCCAGGCTGGAGTGCAATGGTGCAATTTTGGCTCACCACGACCTCCACCTCCTGAGTTCAAGAAATTCTTGTGCCTCAGCCTCCTGAGTAGCTGGGATTACAGGTGCGCGCCACCATGCCCAGCTAATTATTTATATTTTTAGTAGACACAGGGTTTTGCCATGTTGACCAGGCTGGTCTTGAACTCCTGACCTCAGGTGATCCTCTTATCTCAGCCTCCCAAAGAGCTGGGATTACAGGTGAGCCACCATGCCTGGCCCAGTAATACATTTTTTTAAAGGACGCACATTAAACACATTAAGATGTCTCTTGGGGAGGAGGAGGAAGAGAGCAGGAATGGAGATAAAACGAGAAGGATTGTGAACAGATCAATTATAAAACATGCCACAGGACACCAAGAAAAAAAGTGTAAAGGAAGGATCGCAGCATTCTCAGGTCGCCTCACACTCTGACATTGCCTCAGGACTCATCAATCCAGGCACCCTTACATCTGAGACTGGACGGAATGTCACAACCCTTCTTGGACAGTGCTCTGGACAGTCGGTTGTCTGTCCAACAATCACAGCCCCAGATAGCCTTTGGATGCTTAGCCAGGGGCATTCAAAAACAACTGGATGGCAAACAGCCAGACAAAATCGGAATATCAACAAAAGACATAGCTTGACATCAGAGTTTCCTCCAGCTAAATGATCTGAGAAAACTAAAAAGGCATATCAACAAATTGCAAAGGAAAATATTTTGACACAAATAGAATACTGACTTAACCTTTTCATATGTTAATGATCATTCATGTGTCAAGGTAGAGACAGAAGTCAGGGAGAAAAAAATACCTTTCTTAGACTTTTTTTTTTTTTTTTTGAGACGGAGTCTTGCTGTCTCGCCCAGGCTGGAGTACAGTGGCATGATCTCTGCTCACTGCAACCTCCACCTCCCTGGTTCAAGCAAGTCTTCTGTCTCAGCCTCCTGAGTAGCTGGGACTACAGGCACATGCCACCATGCCCAGCTAATCTTTGTATTTTTAGTAGAGATGGGGTTTCACCATATTGGCCTGGCTGGTCTCGAACTCCTGACCTTGTGATCTGCCCGCCTCGG